GTAGCCCTCCATGGCTATGGCCTTGTCCATGGGCTTAGGAGTCCTCAGCTCTCACCACACTTTGGACCAACCATACATTCCTCTTCTCTCTCTCATCTCCAGGTTGACAGGAGTCTATGGAATGAGACTGCTTTTCCCCCACTTCCACTCACCAGTAGACTATCGTGATCTCTAGCAAGCTTGCATGCCTACCGGTGTATTCCCTTTGAGTTTCAGTCTTGGAGGGGAGTTTGTCCTGAAGGGACTTGACTGCTTGCCTTAACGACTCACTGGCAAACCACTTGCTTGTTCTTGCAGTAACCAATCAGAGTGTTGTTTTTTTGTTTTCCAATTTTTCCTGCTGGTCTTTCTTTCAAGAAGTATCTTTGTTCCTGTGGCTACTCCAAGCTGTTCTGAATGTTAATTCAAGTAGGAATGTCCCACCTCAGAAGGTTCTGGATGGGACTCACCTAAAGTGGAATCCTATACACTACTCCTATACACTACAAATCTGCTGCACAGGAACTTTTTAAAGTATTGAAGAGCAGAGATGTCAGCTTGAGGACTAAGGTGCGCCTGACCCAAGCCATGGTATTTTCAATAACCTCATATGGATGCAAAAGCTGGACAGTGAATAAGGAAGATCGTAGAAGAATTGATGCCTTTGAGTTGTGGTGTTGGAGGAGAATACTGAAAGTGCCATGGACTGCCAAAAGAACCAATAGATCTGTTTTGGAAGAAGTGCAACCAGAGTGCTCCTTGGAAGTCAAGATGGCTAGGCTTCGTCTCTCCTACTTTGGACACATTGTCAGGAGAGAACAGTCACTGGAGAAGGATGTCATGCTGGGTAAGGTGGAGGGTCAGAGAAAAAGAGGAAGACCCCCAACAAGATGGATCAGCCAGGTGACATCATTGATGGCGTCAAGTTTGGCAGCGGTAGTGAGGTTGGCCCAGGATCGGACACTGTTTCATTCTGCTGTGCATGGGGTCGCTATGAGTCAGTTCCGACTCAATGGCACCTGACAACAACAACATACACTACAAAGGCTACCCATGGAACCTATTTCATTGGGCAAGTTCTAGCACCCCTTTTAGGTATTCCTATCAGTTATAGGCTGAAGACAGGGTTACAAGTTTTCTGTAATAATGTCTTCTGATATTTCTTTCTATCCCCCTCAATTTTATAATTGTAGGGAAGGGAAACCAACATTCATAATACAGTGAGGTATCTTATCATTATTTCCCCTCTTTTATCCATTCAGACTATGCCTCGGTCCCTGTGTCACAAAGCCCTGTTGTTCCAATGTTGAGTATACATCACAATTTACCTCTGTCACATTGAGCCCACACAAACCTGTGTAAGTGTTCCCCTATCTACCTTGTTCTTCCATCTCTCCCCCTTATTGTGTATTGCTCTTTTCAACACCTGAACCATTGTGTCTATCACTTAAACCATGCTCTACCATGCCCTCCCTCCACATCTCGTAACCAACAAAGATTTTTTTTTTTCTTTCTCTTGGCATGAGTATTTTTTCCTATACTTTATGTTTTGAAGGTTTCCATGTTCTTCTTGGGTTTTTATTTTCTTGGCATGTTGTGAAGTATTAATTTTCTTTGAGGTTACCCTATATTCTAATATTTTTTCCTCTATTTAAAAGTCTATTTTACCCTGCAGTCTATCTGACCGCCTCATTACCTGTATCTCTGATCAAATATTTTTATCTTCTTTCACAATATAATTGTTTTGATCATAGACTGACCTCCCAGAACCTCTGAATTTGTTCTTGTGATTTTTGTTATGTTATGGACTTTTCCATCTGTTGATTGAGTACCATGTGTTGCTGCCACATAAGTCAATCTCTGGTTGTTGTCTGCTCTTGTTGGTTCTCAGTCCAAAGAACTCCCTAATAAGCCATGGTATTTTCAATTACCCCATATGCATGTGAAAGTTAGACAATGAATAAAGAAGATCATAGAAGAATAGATGCATTTGATTTATGGTATTGGAATAGAATATTGAAGGTGCCATGGATAAGAACAAACAGATTTGTGTTGGAAGAACCACAGACAGAATCTGCTCAGAACCAAGAAAGGCAAGACTTTGTTTATCATATTTCAGACATGTTATCAGGAGGGACAAGTTCCCCAAGAAGAACATCATGCTTAGTAAAATTGAGGGTCAGCACTAATAGGATGGACTGACAAAGTGACAGCAGCAAATGGTTTTAAGTGTAACAACAATTGAGAGAATGGTGCAGGACCAGGGAGTGCTTCATTCTGCTGTGCATAGAGTCACTGTGAGCGGTAACTCACTCACTGGCACCTAACAATAACAATAGTGATGTGGAGATTCCCATAATTTAAGATACTGTTAAAAAGTGATTTGTAACGGTGTATATAAAATGAGTGTGATTTATATTGATACAAATGTACAATTAAACAGTAAATCTATTTAGATTTTGAATTACTTTAATGAAGAGAATTAACAACAGTTGACTTGGTACAAGCAGTAAATTTTAAAAATTTGTTGCTGAAAACAAACTTTGTAATATTAAATAGTATAACATTCCTCAAATTAATTCACATCAATTTGAGAATTAAGGTGCACAAATTAATACATATTGAATGATTAAATCATCTTAAGAACAAACTATGTTTATTGCAATGGATGAAGATGTTTAAAACCAAAGTGAAAGAATAAGAATAGAAGATAATAAAATTACATTATATAGCAAAGAGTGGATCTACTGTCCAAAGTACTACAGTAAACAACAATTTCAATATTTTTGCCTAGTATAAATATATTTTAAAAAATTGAAAAAAAAGAATTTAGAGCACAGAACTAGAAATAAAAACAGCTGTGCTGTTATGGTGATTCAATAGGCCTTTTAAAATAACAGCTAAATGAAGTAAATATTTCAGAAATTTTGTTAAAATAATTAAAATTTGATTTACACAATACATCAGTGGATTGAATAGTAGAATGATTGAGGAGGAAATATTTCTGAATATTAAAATTTGAAGACTATGACTTGGTAGTCTAAGCTGGTTCAGCATTATTATCTCAACCTTTAAAAATATGAGGGTAAGTCCAAAGATTTGCTACAAAATCATAGAACCCTTTATTGAAAAAAAAAAAAAAAAAAACTATAAAAATTTGAAGCTATTATTTCTCTACATCTTCTCCATCTAGATCTATATATTTCGGAAAGTGGTGTTTCCATTTCTCTAAGCCTTTATTGAAGAATTTTTTATAATCTCAAGAGACTTGACTTATGTTCCTCTGAAATGTTCTTTGAGTTTGGGGAACAAAAAGAAATCTTCAGGGTCAAGAACAGGGATACAGGGTGGATGGGATAAGAATTTCCAATGAAATTGTCATAAAGCATTCCTTGCTACCCTCAAAGAATGAGCAGGTGCATTCTGGTGATGGAAATTTTTCACTCAGTGCAACTTTTCTGGCCTTGTTTCGTCAACGCATTTTTCAATTTTACTCAAATTTCCTAATAAGCCTTCATAATGGTCCTATGTCCTTCTAGAAAATCTATGAAGATTTCTCCTTTGGAACGTCATAAAACAGTTTACATATCCTTCTGACCTGGCCTCTCTACTTTAAATTTAACTGGCCCTGAAGACCCCTATGAACTCAAGGTTTTGATCGGACATTTTTTTAGAAAGCCCCCTAATGAGACTAACAGAAGTATAGTTACTGAGAAAACTTACCTGCAGTAATTCAAACATCACGGTGACATATGTAAACATTTTGTTTGGAATAAAACAGTGCATATATGAACTTAAACCCTACTAGTAATAAGTTTTATTTATTAAACTTATACATTTCAAAGCTTAAAATACAAAAAGTAGACTGAAGGCTAAATTAGATACAAAAGTTTTTAAGGTATAACAGTTATAATAAAGTTAATAAAA